GTTAAAAAAAATTTTTTTTTAAGTTTAGAATTAGTATCCTCTTCCAGGTGCTTTGAACTTTTTTTATCCTTATGAAGGGACCCTCTTTATCTCTAGTAGTATGTTTTCTCATAAAGACAATTTTGTCTGAAGTTCATGTGGTTTCAAGTAGCTTTCTTTTGGTAAATATTTGCCTGGATATAAAAGCCTATAGCTGAATTTTACCTTTTTATCTAGTCTGGTGATCTTTGTGGCTAGAGTTTTGTCTGTTTTTATTTGTGTTTGCTCACATGTTTGAATTTCTGGTTACCATCTCTGGACTGACTGAGGATTTTCCCCCCCTTCCTCTTATTTTACTCCTCTTGACCTCAGTTTTTTGGAAGGTTTATCCTATATGTCACTTTTTTTTTCCAGCGGTTATCATAAGCATGTATGTTACCATTTCTAAGTTAAGTCTGAAGTTACTCAATATCATTGCCCTCCTTTTGAATTACAAAAAGGTCTTAAGATATATAACTCCAGTATGTCCCCCAATATAGTCAGCTACTGCCCAGTATTGTCATTCTTTTCCACCAAAAATTGGACATTATTTTTGTTTCTACATAGTTAGTGTTTATTTAGATTTAATCGAATTTTATTGTATCTTTGCTATTTCTGTTTACATTTCACTCCTTTCTGGGATAATTTTCCTTCTGTTTAAAATGAATTCTTTGGAATTTCCATTGGGGAAGATTTCTTGTTGGCAAATCATTTATGTGTGAAAATGTATTTTGCCCTATGCTTGAAAGATAGGTTTCTTGGTTGACAGTTTAGCTCAGCATATTCGACGGTAGTATCCGCCTTTTTTCTCTGGGCTTTCAGAGTTCCTTCTAAGAAGTGAGCGGTCTAATGTCCATTTAAGATGATCTGCCTGTTTAAGACCTTCCCTATATCATTAGTACATTGCAGTTCTAATTAGTACATATCATCAGTACGTTGCAGTTTTACCTTAGTGTGCCCATGTGTGAATTGTATATACACAGCTTGAACTTTACTGGGTGTGTCGGGTCCGAGGATGGGAATTTCAGTAGATCTAGAACAATACAGTTCAGTAGAACTTTCTAGGATGATGGAAATGTTCTACATCCGTGCAGTCCTGTATGGTAGCCACCTGCCACATGTGACTAATGAGAATCTGAAATGTGGTTAGTGCGATTAAGGAACTGTGTTTTAAATTTTAACTTACATAGGCTCATGTGGCTAATGGCTGCATAGTGGGGAGAGCAGTTGCAGAGAATTCCCAGAGATAGTTATTTCATGCATATTCCCTCTTCCCCATTTTCTCTTTCTGGAGCTCTAATTAGCATGAAAAGGTCCAGCACATGTCTAACTTCTTTACTTTCCACCTGCCGTGTTTTCTTTGTGCTGCATTCTGGATAATTTCTTTGGCTCTCACCTGCAGTTCACTACTTTTTCTTTCTTTGGGCATAATCTACTCTTTTATCCATCACTTTTATTTCAATTATATTCTGTTTTTAGAAATTATATTTGATTCCATGGGGCGCCTGGGTGGCTCAGTCGGTTAAGCGTCCATCTTCAGCTCGGGTCATGATCTTGCGGTTCATGAGTTTGAGCCCCGCGTCAGGCTCTGTGCTGATGGCTCAGAGCCTGGAGCCTGTTTCAGATTCTGTGGCTTCCCTTCTCTATCTGCCCCTCTCTGGCTTGCGCTATCTCTCTCTGTCTCAAAAATAAGTAAATAAATAAAAATTATATTTGGTTCTATTTGAAGTCTGCCTCGTCATTCTTAATAGTCTCTTAGCTCATTTTTAAGCTTCTGTTCAGCATATTAAACATTTATAGTTTGTGTCTGTTCTGGTATCTGAAGTCTAATCATCCATCTGGTTCTGCTCACTCTTACTCATGGTGCCTTGTTTTCTTGTGTGTGTGTGTTTCTGTGATTTGCTCATTTTCCTTGGAATTTCATCTGAGGGAATTTTAATGCCCGGATCGAAGTTACAAGGTCTTCCAGAGAGAATTTGTCTTTGCTTATGCCGGTCTCCCAGGGACACTGCATTCTTGTGGTCACTCTAACTTTCTCACTCCTGGTTCAGTGCTTCCAGCCATACTGGTGGCAAAAATACAGACCTCAGATGTCTGGGGAGATTTCCCTTACTCCTGTACTCCAGGCCTATGAAAAAAACTGGTTTCCTTGCTGTCCGCTTTTGAACAATAGGTTCTCTCTTTGGCCTTTATATTGAAGTCCTTTTGGGGTCGCAGTGTCTAGCTCGATACAGGAGTCTTTCCTACCTCCCCCAGTGTAGCCTTCAGCACACAGACTCGAACTCGGAGTCTCCAGGGTCTCAAACCCAGGGTTTGGAGGAGACGCCTAGAGTGGAATCGTGGCTCAGCACATACTTTTCTCCAAGGAGAGAAAGCACTCCCTTCCTGTGTGACCTCTCTAGAGCCTTTCCTTTTGTGCTCAGTGGTGTGTTTTCAGAGGTGTTTATTTATGTGTGTGCTCATCTTTTCCTTTTAATATTTTATTCAGCACTTAAGTGCTTCAGCCTGCGGGCGGTTCGGGGTGGTGGCTTGCCGTGTGTGCTGGAATAAAATCCGAGTCAGGGCATCTTTAAAACAGACTGTAAAGTGAAGGAAGGGAACGTGCGCACGCACAGCGTTAACCTCTTCTTTGGAGGGAAAAAGGGTGAAAAAGCAAAGTAGTTAAGCATTTTAGTAGAAACCAAACCTTAAGCTATCAAAACAGCAGACTGTGGCCATATTTCACTTTCCAATTGGGGTTTCTTTGCTTCCTCACCCCCCTTGTTGACTGTTCAAAGCACAGGGTAGATTTAGCCCTTCTTATTCATTTTTAGATATTGTAACTGCAGTGTTTGAGGGTGTTATTCAGTATGACTCAATTCTTCTAAGCTATTTTTAGTCTCTGAAAATGGAGTCATATAGTGTCATTACCTGTAGAGGCAGGATGCAAAATCACCTGTTAGTGGTTATTTGTGTCAAAGAGACATATAAACTTTAGGGTTAAGGAGGGTGATAAATGCACCTTTATCCTGGGAGCCGATACCCTTCATCATTCACTGACTCCTTCATTTGAACTCCAGAGGATCTCAGAGCCAGGTCCTTCCGCTGCACTTGGGATGTCAGCATGAAAGGCCTCATCCGTGCTCTCAAAGAGCCTTTACCAAAGTCGTAGCCCCTGGATTGGAGGCTTTCTTCCGGGCACAGTGGGGGCTCCTTCCTGATGCAGCTTCTCAAGCCCGCAAGGCTTGCTAAGGAGCGGAAGTCTTGAAATGTCTATTTTTTTTTCTTTAATTCATCGAGTGAATTTTTGCCCTTATTCTATTACATCAGTCAGTTTTAAGATACTTCTGGAACACATTTGACAGTCTGGAAGTCCAGACTGCCTTGTAGGATCCCAAATGTCCAGTTCAGCAGGTACTTCAGTAGTGTCTGTGTACCTCTTTTACACTGGAAGTAAGAATGAGATTTGGATCCTTGCCTGAGAGAGTTGACAGTCAGAAATTAATGAGCTGTGTGAAATGTACCACTTAAATGTCAGTTTAAATATATTTTCTAATGCAGATTCAGGAAAGAGGGCTTGAAAATGTAGATACGGGTGTGAATACTATTTGTCTATCTCATGGTGGTTGCACTCAGGAACTTCTCTTTCATCTTTTAGCCTGTTTTGAATTCTCAAGATTTTGAGTAGTGAATATTTGTTGCTTTTGTAATGAGGAGGAAAACAAGTTCTTTTTTTCTTTTTCTTTTTCTTTCCCATTTAAAAGCTTATTGTCATTAACTGGGCCCTGAAAGCAGATTCCCAAACTTACCTACCTTCTCTTAATTTGCTTTGAAGTATATAGTAAGATGAAAAAAGTGTTTTTAATTAATGCTTATAAATAGTGGCACTTCAATAGGAAAATACTAATGCATGCAGGATTACAAATAGAAACTAAAAATTTTATTTTACTTCCTGAAGCACTATATTTTCTTCTGCCAAAGGAGAGAAAGTATGGTTTTTAATTTTCAAAAATTACTAAAAACTTACCAAAAAGCAGCACTGAAGTTCTTAACAATTGCTGCTTTATAGATACTTTCGTACTTTTAACCAAAGCTTGCTGGTGCCCTTTCCCTCAGGAGCTTGAAGGAAGCAGAGCTCCTAGCCTCCTGTGGGCTGGACTGGTTTTCTTCACTTCCTTACGTTCCCCACCTTCATAAGATTTTAGAGTCAAGAGTTGAATTTAAGATTTTATAGCCTTTTCGTTGGTGTGTCAGACTTACTTTGTCTTGTGATTGTCCTTCCCAGTGAGTAAAGCACATTCAATGTCCTTGTAACCGCCTCCCCAGCCTCCAAAATCCAGTAGGTTTTAGATTACGGAGATCTGTAGTTACATTATATTGATTTGTCTTAATCATTTAAAGCCAAGATGATACCACAGAATATGGAGATTGTGTTTTAAAATTCCGATATTTAAAGCTACTTCTAGTATTGACTGCTCTATCTGTAACATTCCCCTTTTTGATAAATAAAAATATCTCATGTCTGTTTCTGTAGTTTGTATTGTGAAAGTAATAGGTAGTTCTCTAAAATGCAAGTATTAATTACTTTTCCTCAAACTCCCCTCTTCTCTGCCTTAGTAGCAATCTGTGCTGTAAAGAGATTACGGCTGTGACAATAAGCTTTCATCTAAGGGAGAAATTGGATTCTTACTGAAATATATGGATGTTTTATGAGCTATGATGGTGTTTTTGAGGTTTTAGGCACTAATGGCAGAGCTGTGGTACCCTGGCTGCATCACAGCCCCCACCCAGAGAGCTTGTTAAATCACAATTGCTGGGCTTCGCAGAGTTTCAGATTCAGGAGGTGGGGCCCAGAACATGGCATTTCTGCCAGCTCCCAGGTGATGTTGATGCTGCTGGTTTGGCATGACACTTTGAGAACCACTGTGTGGAAGATGGAAAAAGAAGAATCAGAACCTGAGTTGTGTTCTTGGTTCATCCCTAAAATCTGTGGGCTGTAAAACGGGTGGGCCACACTAGTGCACCTGTGAGCAGTGAGTATGGTTTCTTGTTTCAAGGACTCTTCTGTCTAACTGGGTTCAGGTGATGCTGAAAATCAGATCAGTAGTCTCAAGTAAAGACTGTTTAGTTTTTTGTCAGCTTGTGGTTTTCAGTAACTTTTCAGTGTTGTGTTAATGGGTCATTTGTATTGTATGCAAATGGGTCTCTGTTATGGTGGTGAGGTGGCTGTGGCTGGTTATTAACTTTTCCTGTTGCTTTTAGTTGGCTAAAAAACAGGCCATACAATTGTGTTTATCATTATGGCTCACAGTATTCAGCCTAGATTTATTTGCTTTGTATAGTATGTTCCTAACGTGGCTGTATAATGATGACAATTTTAATTCACTAGGAGGGGGGTGCCTGGGTGGCTCAGTCCGTTGGGTGTCCGACTTTGGCTCAGGTCGTGGTCTCGCAGTCCGTGGGTTTGAGCCCCACGTCGGGCTCTGTGTTGACAGCTTGGAGCCTGGAGCCTGCTTCAGATTCTGTGTCTCCCTCTCTCTCTGCCCCTCCCCCACTCATGCTCTGTCTCTGTCTCTCTCTGTCAAAAAAAAAATGTTAAAAAAATGACTTTAGGGGCGCCTGGGTGGCGCAGTCGGTTAAGCGTCCGACTTCAGCCAGGTCACGATCTCGCGGTCCGTGAGTTCGAGCCCCGCGTCATGCTCTGGGCTGATGGCTCAGAGCCTGGAGCCTGTTTCCGATTCTGTGTCTCCCTCTCTCTCTGCCCCTCCCCCATTCATGCTCTGTCTCTCTCTGTCCCAAAAATAAATAAACGTTGAAAAAAAAATTTTTTTTAAATAAAAAAAAAAAATTAAAAAAAAATGACTTTAATTCACTAGAGGGGAATACTATGTAAGAGAATCCTGTTTTTTAATTATTTTATGATTCAGATAATCTATGATATTTGTGTAAATCTAGTTTTTTAAATCTTATTTGTGTAGTATGTACCTATTAATTTTGGTGAATTTGAATTTCATCAGATGCAACTTTTCTGTTTTCCTTTGAGGAACTATTCAGCTTTCCTTGGAAGACCCCTTAGAAGCCTTAAAAAAGTAAATTTTTCTTCAAGTATTTATTAAAGCCAGAGAAAAGGCTGAGTATAAGCCCTGAACTAGAAGAATCTACCCTTGAATAATTGCATTGATTGATCTGGGACTCCTGCATGAAAGGCAAGGGTGTGCTTTGGAAAATGGCTTTGTGAGTGAGAGGCTGGCTGTGCTCCTATAATGTGCCTATGATATTCCTAAGAATTAGCACGTGTCTGAATAAGAATGGTACAGAGAGGGGCACCTGGGTGGCTCAGTCAGCTAGGCGGCTGACTTCAGCTCAGGCCATGATCTCGCGGTTTGTGAGTTCGAGCCCCACGTCGGGCTCTGTGCTGACAGCTTGGAGCCTGGAGCCTGCTTCGGATTCTGTGTCTCCCTGTCTCTCTGCCCCTCCCCTCCTCATGCTCTTTGTCTCTCAAGGATAAATGTTAAAAAAAAGATAAAAAAAAAAAAAGAATGGTACAGACTGATACTTGTTTAAAATTTTTTTTTTAAGTTTATTTATTTATTTTGAGAGACAGAGACAGCACGAGGTGGGGAGGCGAGGGATGGGGGAAATCCCAAGCAGGCTCCATGCTGCCAGCACAGAGCCAGACACAGGGCTTGAACTCTTGAAACCGTGAGATCATGACCGAAACCAAATGTGGGACGCTTAACCAACTGAGCCATTCAGGCACACCCAGACAGGTATTTAAAAATGTTTGTTGGCATTTACACCAAAGTCTTTTTGTTGGATCCATAAACAATATATACTATTAGTTACAGAAGGAATAAATTTAATTTTCCTACTGTCTGTGGTTAACATTAGAATATTATTATACGTAAATACCAGGGATATTTATGGAAAATATTAAGTGTGCTACCAAAACTCAAGTGCATGGGTGTGTTTTTCATTCAACAGGCTTTGTTGAGAACTTGTAAATACTGTAGGTGCACAATGCATGTATATTCTTCAACTCTCAAAGAATTTCTAGTCTAGTGGGCGAAAACACTTGAATCTCTTTAACTGAATGTTGTAGTTGCTGCTGTGGATGTAGATGCCGTGTACAGTTAGGGCACAGTGCTGGGAGTCAGAAATGAGACGCTCATTTCTTCATTGACTTTCATTGGACAGTTAAGAGTAAAAATGAACTTGTGCCAATAAAGAGACCGTAGTTTGAAAACTTCATGTAAAAATCAAAACTAGTTAAATACTTGGACATACATTAGTCAGAACACGGAGGAGGGTCGTTCCTCTACTTGAGGATATTAGGGAGTAATGTTAGATAAATGAAGACACATTCAGTTTGAGGTCTCTTTTAAAGACTTGTTTATTAGGGACTTGCCCCTGTAGGACAGAAAGTACGTTTCACAGAAAGCGGACATCTTCAGTCTCCCTGGTTGTGATCTAAAATTTTATCTGAGGCTGGCCGCACTAAGCCACTTTGAAGAACCCGGCTCTTTCTAAAACCCTGTGGTCGTGGACAGAGTCTTAAAATGGTTAAAACAGATCTCCTTTTGATTTCCAGGTTAGCAGTTTAGTTAAAACATTTGGAGTGTTTTATATGCCTGGTTTGCAACACCTCCAGTTTATTCTAGATTAGGGATTCCCTGCTGGCGAGCTTTCAGGGGATCTTTATTTATCTTTGGTCTTTAAATGAGCAAACATTGTTATAGACTGGGTGTCTTCTTCACATTTGTAATATGGTTTAAAAATATGTCAGCTGTGTTATTAATAAAATATGGATCATTTAAAAATGTTAATGACTTTGGGGCGCCTGGATGGCTTAGTCAGTTAAGCGTCCGACTTTGGCTCAGGTCATGACCTCCTTGCTCGTGAGTTCGAGCCCCAAGCCCCGTGTCGGGCTCTGTGCTAACAGCTTAGAGCCTGGAGCCTGCTTTGGATTCTACGTCTTCCACCCCCCCCCCCCCCATGCTCTGTCTCTGTCTCAAAGATAAATAAACATTTAAAAAATTTTTTAAAAATGTTAATGACTTCATAGTACCTTTGTGGCATTGCGTATTAATAAATTGTGCTTTTGTGTAATTACTGTTGTTTGTGGGGTGATGGATGTATGTATGAATGAATTTCGAGGTTGTTGCGATCCCTCTATGATTCAAGGTGACTTTTGTATAAAAGCCCATTTCCCTTATCAGTATTTGCTTTACCTTAAGTTTCATCTTTAGAAGAGAGATTTTGTTGGGTTTTCTATTAGAGATGCAGTGAACAAATAAAGTCAGTTTTATGTGATTATGAAGTTTATGTGTTTCAGTGCAATAGTGGTATAGCCCAGAGATTGGGAGTCTGGGCTCAAATCCCAATCAAATCCAGCTACATAACTTTGGAAAGTTACTTAATGTTTCAGATCCCTCATCTGTAAAATACAAGTAATCATATGAACTCAAGTGTGAATTCCATTGCACAGTCCAGGTGTGGAAAAAAATAGAACTTTATTTTTCATTAATAATTTACCACAATCGTGTCAATTCTACTGGGTAAGTGAAACTATCATCTGTGAGTTCGCAGACCTCCTTCTCTTGCCTCACGGCTGAATTGAGGGTGGAGATACCTTTGTAATGTCATTGCCTGGGGGACCCCATCCTGCCCTCCGGCCGCCTCTCCCCACACTGGAACCATTCTGCTATTGCCACACTCTCATGGGACACGCATCTCTGCAAAGTTCAGACACTTTCTGTCCTAATGCAACATATAGCTGTTTGTACCTCTCCGGTCAATTTGCCATTTCCCCGGGGCTCTGGCACTATGATGCAGGCTGTCTCCAGCACTCTCCATTGCGTCTAGACTCTGTCCTGTACTTCTCCACCTCAGACCATCTTCCCCAGGCTTTGGAGGCAGAAGTGGCAAGGGGAGAAACGGGTCTTGCCTTGTCTCTCCTGTGCAGTGTTTCTCACAGGTGTAGACCTAGAGTTCCCTCTGTTCTTAGGGCCTTTGGAACCTGCAGCTGGGAAGACTGTTGTGTTCCACTGTGTCCTGTCCCTCTGCTGAGGCAGTGACACTGCTGACTTGGGGGTGTGGAGGTGGGAGTAAAGACCAGGAAAACAAAAATCCCTAAGGATGAAAAAAATTATATTTTAAAGCTATTATCTCTACCAAATTATCTTAAGAATTAAGTGAAAATTCTTATAAAGGACTTACCAAGTGTCTGGCTTATTGCAAAGGATAGTTGTTATGGTTGAATGGTGTTATTCATATTATTATAAAAGTAGAGTATAAACTAAGATCTGTTAGACCCCAGGATCTAGAGTCTACCTTAACTGTATTCAGGGAGCTGAAATAAGCTTTTCTAATTTCCAGTTACTCTTGTGGATGTGATCAGCTTTTCCATCTCCTTCATATTTATCTAAAACTTTGGATAAACTTCCCAAATTGGGGTGCCTGACAATTTGAGTTTGATTCTTTTTGCCGTTGCCTTGGTGAGCCTTGTTAATTCCGGTAAATTACCTTTCATACATCAAAACAAGATAATTCTGGTAAATTACCTTTCATCAAAAACAAGACCAAATGTTGGAGGCAGAAAGGAGAGAAGTATGAATAAAATCACAGAGTACATTGGCGGGGCACCTGGGTGGCTCAGTCAGTCAAGCTCCGACATCGGCTCAGGTCATGATCTCGCAGTTCATGAGTTCAAGCCCCGCGTCGGGTTCTGTGCTGACAGCTCGGAGCCTGGAGCCTGTTTCAGATTCTGTGTCTCCCTCTCTCTCTGCCCTTCCCCCACTGACCCTCTGTCTCTCTCAAAAATAAACACTAAAAATAATTTAAAAATGAGTTCAAGCCCCGCGTCGGGTTCTGTGCTGACAGCTCAGAGCCTGGAGCCTGTTTCGGATTCTGTGTCTCCCTCTCTGTCTGCCCTTCCCCCCACTGACCCTCTGTCTCTCTCAAAAATAAACACTAAAATGGGGTGCCTGGGTGGCGCAGTCAGGTAAGCGTCCGACTTCAGGTCACGATCTCG